AAACTAGAAAAAAATTGTTGTTGTCATTCATTTAACGTTTCCATTTTAAATTTGTGTCATTATAAGTTTATTAAGTGATTCGCAATTTTTTCTAATTTAACAATGCATATTGATAAAATATATTTGTAAACAGTTTTTGTAATTTAAATCATCAAATCAAATTGGTTCTCTAGGATAAAAACTTGAACCTTTAATGTTAAGAAATAAAATCCCTACATTGTATGGAAAATGTATTTTCTTTGAATTAATGTGTTTTAAAGTGAGGATATTAATTACATTCACTTTATCCGCTTGGAGACACTTAAAGATTTTCAAGGGAATTAAAAGCTTGTGTGCAATTTGTCCGCATTTGTTGACAGTAATGAAGAAAACATGTGAAAAGTAGATTAAAATTGTAATAATGTGACGATGCGTTTCTTCCCACCAACTGTGTGTTGCGTCATCTTATATCTTCCTTAGAAAGGTAATGAAACTCCATGTACTAACGGATAGCTTGGATAAAATCTCTTACTTCTAAGACATGTAAGATGCTGCTGTCATTAATGTGTCAAGCAGACTAACAGATATCTTATACATATATAAAAAAATTAATACCTCTAAAATGTATAAAAACCCATTTGTTTAAACGTGTAGTAACAGAATGTTTGGTGGGTTGGTACAACTTAAATGGAAATACATAGAAACTACATCATTTGTTACCTGAAAAGCACATTTTAATTTAGTACGGAATTGGTAAATAAAAAATTTAACAATGTTAGGTACAATCACCAACGAGCGTATTGTTGACTGAATTTAGTACACAGTATAACGATGTTTAGCAATAATACAGAATCATTTGTTTAACAAAAAACAAACTGTATACATCGTCATGAATTAAAAATACACCTAAAGCAACCAATAATCCTTGCCTTTGTTATGACGTTTGATGTTTGCCACGTGAAATCAATCCAAATGTCTCAGACATACCGGTTTGTAGGTGTTACCATTATAAAGTTAGTGACAATTATGTGTAATAAAGCGCGGCGAAAGAAACTCAACTTAATATTGTATGAATTCCATAGCTGTTTTTTTTTCTAAAATCAAATAGTGCTTTTTTAATCAACTTAAATCAATGTCAAGGCGTCCTCCAGATAGCCAAGCACTTATTATTAAGTGATTGCTTATGTCACCATATTTTGACGGCAATTGTTTGATTGTTTGCTATGTCACCATATTTTGATGCCAACGAGTAGAATCCTGAGTATAAATCAATCTTAACCTTTTGGTAATCAAGGCCCGTATTGTCTTTTATCGCGCATGATATTCCATATCTCGTATCTTCACGTCGTATTCTAGTTTGATTGAACCATCGCAAGTGTTTTAAAAAAGAATTATAAACGTTTTAAATTGTCAGTTTTCATGTGCAGTGCACTTGTTATTCTGTCGGGCAGTTTGGAACAGCGATTACAATCTCATTTAAATTTTCCGGTTTTCACCATCCATTTTCAGTATCATCTTGATGGTAGAATATTATAAGATTACTTTATTTAAGATAATGAATTTCGCACGTAGCTGCGCCTTTACAAACTGCATTTGGATATTTGTGTATTATATTAACAAATGAGGTTCCAAAATATCTATACATGGTATATCAGGGACATTGGTGATTAAATTCAATCTTAAAAGCATAAACCGAGATTTTTGTGTACGGTCGTATTTTCACTATTTTTAGTTCGAAAATGACATTTGAGCAATAATGCTGCTACAATTACCAAATTCATTATATTTTCTTTGCGTTACTGTTGTATTTCAGAACCAGCGTGTCAATAACATTAATGACCAAAGCTGGCTATGATTAAATTACAGTTTTTACACTTACCTGATTTGTTCATGACTTTTTATATAAACATAGCTATACTTGCCTAATTTCATTCATTCTCGAAAATTTTTAATCCTTAAATCGTACATTTGATAAAGAATCAAAAAGCATATCGAGCACAAAATGTTAGCAACATTTAACTTTATAAAATGTCTCTGTCAAATACATAAATAGTCAAACAGAAACGCCATATCAAAGCAGTGACAAATGTATCATTTAAAGATTATTCAACTTGGGGAAATCTGTTTATTTTTTCTTTATTTTCAAACATAGCTTCCAATTTAATAATGGATTCATGTTTCCGTCTATATATGAATGACTTCTCAAATGTAAAACTGTAAAATATTATGTTACAGCACATAAAGATTGCCGGCTGTAGTCCAAAGCTGAAACGTTACAAATGATATTTTAGATTCAACCGTTATATCATCAATATCACACACAGTCTGTTCGTCTCCTTTTAATCTGTAAGCCTTTGTACAGAAAACTGTACAGTGCTACACATATCTACAATAATATTTTCATTTCTTTTGATACATACACAAATGAGAACTGGGATTAGAGAAGTATAAGGTGGTCTTTAATTGGCACAACTTTTCCAAGAGTATTTCAAATATTGATAACAAAATAGAAATGTTGGTATTCATACACACTAAACTGTTGATTCTTTTAAGTGAACTAGCATTTACATTTAGAATATGTGTAATAATATTTTGTTCTAGAACAATATATTATCTGCTATGATAGACATGTATTATCGAATAATGTATATTATTCTTCCTTACATACCTAAATAACTATTTCTGAAAATTGTTGTCATGCAAGATCAATATAATGATTTATGATATAACAAACCTTCCATAATTGGACAGTCCTCTTTAAACAAAACCATTCATTTATGATCCGCAAGGGACTTTAAATTAATTTCGGGAAGCTAGATATCGAGCTTTTTATAGGACGCCGGTGTATTTATACATCACAACAGCAGGTGTCAAGTGATGTGTGGTAGCCATAAAAAGTTGCTCCGTACTTCACTACAGTTTGTTATATTTTCTGGTCCATCGGGATCATTGAGTCCAGCACTTTTAAGTGTTGAGAACTGAGTACCGCTCAAGCCGGTGCTAGTTGTCGTGATGGATTTTTACACGTTTTCGTTATCCCTCATGCACAGACTCAATCAAACCGAGTCTGCAATTTTTTATGTAGTTTTGCTGTTTTTAATACATCCGAAGGATCGATTTTTACCAGATATCCGCACGTAAAAAGGGACACATGAGATTACATAATCATGAAAGGTTCTGTAAATACAATGGACAAATATGCCATATTATATACCAAAAGAAGCAAGCACACGATGCAATGCTAATCGTTCAACGAACGGAAAATACTCAATAGTTAATAGACTGTATCGGTACATGAGACACCAACAATTTTTAAATGATCACAATTATATAAAATGCTAATGATGTTTCATTTCAAAATGGCTATTAAGTTCATATGCGTTTGTAAAAGTATTTGAAAATAAAGCAGGTTTTTAATGCATTTTTCCTTTATATGACTCATTACGGAAAAGTGCTGTAAAGACGAAATTATCTGATTAATGAACTCGTAAAAATGAGCAGGTGAATAAGGAAAAGTAAAAATTAGTAAGATCTATTGTCTCAGCAATATATTGCATGGTTAATTATTGAATGTTCACAGTTACGTTACGTCGGTAACATTTTTGCGTCGTCTGTCTGACTGTACTTCGTCTGTGCGTCCATCCGCCAAAACACCTGCCCGGAGTACTCATCAAAATTACTTGTGCAATTTCAACCAAACTTTACAGGAATGATCAGTATTAGGTCCATTCTCTAACGCGATGACTTTTGTCAGAGTAATGGCTCTTTTATGATTTTCATTGAAACGTTTGTCCTGACTACTCCTCATATACCAGTTTTTCAATTTAAATAACACTCAGCTTAAGGTCTTGCGCATGTCAAACTGGTTTTCCGATTGAATGGTTTTAGTTGAGGTATTGGCCTTGAATAAAAAGGCGTTTTCTTGTTTTAATGATTTTTATGTTATACAGTAGGTAATACTTATTACAAATTAGTCGCGACGTATAAGCATCACTCCTTTCGTCCGTTTGTCCGTCCGTCTATCTTTCCTTAATAAAATATGTTGAAACTACTTTTCAAAAGATTTTGGTTCAATTTCAACCAAATTTTACAGGAATGATCAGTACCATGTCTAGTTCTGTCTTTTGTATGTCGTCAGCACTTTCTAGTTTTATGATTTCATTCAGAGTTATCGCCCTTCAGTTTGTTAAGCATTGTCTAGACTACTTGTATATTATTTGTGCAATTTCAGTACAACTTTACAGGACTGATCGATACCTTAAGTTCTTCAGCACAATGTTTTGATTTTTCAGGTTTAATTATTTTTGCTGAGCTATTGCACTTGTATAACAAATGAGTTTTAGTCTGTTTATGATGTGTGTGTCTCCTATTATACAGCAGGTACAATATGCTACAAAGTAGCCGCGACATAAAGGTACAAAATGGCTAATCATCCCTCAATACAACCGCTTAATATGCTATCATCAAGTGAAACATGCTATAACTGATTCCTCTTGTTGGACAATAACGTCACATTGCAGGTCGCATTCTATGCATTGATATGTGTTACACAAATTTGGTATAAAATGGCTTTTTTGCTAAGAAGGTATTAATTCAATTGATATATTACTAAATAAACAAGTAATAATAGTATACTAGATCATATTACGATACCTGACCACATAACTTGAGACAATCTCACACTTTGATACACTGATTGATATTGAACTATATTGATGACGTTCATAAAGTGATGGTAATTGTAATAGTAGTGTAAAAGCACTTTCTTGAGAGAAAGAATAAACCAAGTGAACTGAATATTTTCGTCTTACACTAACGACGTGGTTTCCTTTTCTACTTTATTTCATTATTGTGCTTATGAAAGCTGATAGGAAATGAACGTCCATACAAGGTAGGGGTGTAGTTATATATTGATTGAGTGAAACCCCGATTCCCTTATCATAATGATATATTGCCGTCTGAATATAAACGCTTTCCAGATGTTTCCAAATAGAATATAATGTTTTATTTTATGCTTACTAATGAATTATAGAAATTTATCAGTGATTTAAAATTGATAATCCACTGTTTCAAAACAGTGAAATTACCAAAATGGTAATTTCACTGTTTTGACGGAACTACTTTTTTTCCAATTGAATTACCTCCCTTACTTTATTCCATTCATTACTTCCCTTTGATATTCATGATTTTTTTTTATATTATTTTAATATTTATTATTTATACAAATATATATGATATTAATTAATACTAAAATATCAACATACAATATAATTTTATTAAAAAAAAAAAAAAAAAATCACATAGAATCTACAATATATTACCTCCCTTTTATCACCGTCTGCTATCATAATTTTACAATGGAGGATTTAGAAGAAATTGGAGATTTTGAATTTGAAGCATTTTTTGGACATCTTTTTGATGAAGAAGCACACTTTGAGGAGGTAACATCCCAAGAAATACAAAACGATGAGAAAAAACAAAATAAGCCAAATGAAAGAACATTCAGAACAGTAAATGTTGATCAATTTTTAGAAACTTCTGTCAACAAAAACACTAAAAAGAAAACAGACAGTGACATCAAATATTTTAACGCATTCCTACAGTCTAGAAATGAAATAAGAACACCAGAATTCATTCCACCAGACACTTTGAACACTTATCTTTGTGAATTTCTGCTAGGTGCAACCAAACCTGATGGAAAAGAATATGAACCAACTACTTTAAGGGGATTTGTCAGCTCTATTGACCGATATCTTAAGTCAAAAAGTTCGAAAATGTCAATTATTAATGATGTTGAATTCTGTAAAACTAGAATGGTCTTAAAGGGAAAGCAAAAACAGCTGAAAAGCTTGGGATATGGCAATAAACCCAAAACAGCAGAACCTCTAACAGAAGAACACATAAATAAAATGTACGAATGTAAAACCCTGGGTGACGACAATGCACGTGCTCTCATTCATTCCCTTTGGCTCATCTGCACAACATATTTTGGAATGAGAACTGGTCAGGAAATCCATAACCTGAGGTGGGGAGACATAAATCTAGAAATGGATGACCAAACAGGAGAAGAATACTTAATTTTGGACACAGAAAGACAAACCAAAACAAGGACTGGTGCAAATCCAAAGGATACAAGGTAAAAATATTCTTTAAAGATACAAAAAATCAAAAACAATATTGAGTACAGTAAAGCTATAAAAAAAAATTCACAATTGTCAGTCTGCAATAATATAATGCATGTTTTTTATTTTCTTTGAAAATGTATCTTCTCTTTAAAATTATTTAAACCAAGTTGTTAGTAATTTGTAACAACAACATAAATATTATTATTTTATGAATGATAATCAATGTGCAGATAAGAAAAGAGCAAACTGAATTTTTTTTTTATTAATTTTACAGGCTAATCAAACCAAAAGCATTCAGCAATCCAGAAAATCCACAGCGAGACCCTGTTTACCTGTACAAATTATACAGTCTAAAGCGCCCAAATGCTTCAAATACAGATGACCACAGACACTTGTTTAGAAGCGAATATAAGGCATTTATAATGACATTACTCCAGTATATACTATAAATAAGACAAGATAACCAACAACGAAATGTAAACAAACAAAACCGAAGCACATTTATCAAGTAGCTACAGAAACACAAATGCACTTGCAGAATAATTCTTGCATCATTTCATACCCGTAATATATGCCCTTTCCAATGAAATATGTAACTACTAATAAGTCCACTTTATTACAAAGAAAACCAGATTTGTTTCCATCAATAGTCAGTTTTCACGACCTGTCATTTTGCGAAGCTGCTATAAACGAATGGTTCCAAAGGTTGTAAACGGAACCTTTGCGAAATCTATAAGCCGGGTGCAAATGTCACGTACTATGGGTTTCAACCGGTTTTTTATTTTCAAATGTAAAAATGAATATCCGCATTTTTTCCCAAAGTTTCTTTGATATTGACTATACAATGCAAAACATGTATGTAAAATATAATCTATATTGTATAATGAAGCGCTTTGTAAAAAATAATAAATTATTAGAAATGTTCACGGGCTCCGACTTGGAAAAGAATTTGCGCGAACTTTTCCCGCTAAATGTCAAGTTGATGGAATAGAAATTTTTCCATCAAACTTGAATCGGGAAAGGGGTGACCCTGACTGTAAGAAACCCATTGATAATGAAGTGAATGAGCAGATTGATGCAATAAATAACTATGTACGTGATGTCAATCATGAGTATGGCTTGATCAAGTCGCCAAAATTTGTACTTGATTGTATTAAATACAGAGGAAAATCACATAAGAAACATAAATCTTTTTTGACTAGCGATTTATTTGTTGATGGCGTGCACCCTAATGATATCACTTGTCAAAAATGGCTGTATCAAATAGTAAACAGTGTTTCCAGGCATTTGGTGTGGTAATTACTGATTGGAAATACATATGCATATAACATATTTTTGGCTCAACTTTTTTCTCTCGCTCATCTAAGCATATAGCGCTTGTTACCTTATGTTTTCTTGGGATGTTCGGTGTCTATCGTCATTCTAAATTAAGATAATGTAAATTTTCTACAAAAGTTGTTCTCACGCTTTCCATTCACTTGTTATAGACTTCATTCTAAGATTAGAAATTAGGACTAAATGTTTAATTAATTGCCTTGATTATTACTATGTATGATACAAACATTCCATAACAAATCGATTGGATTTCAAATTATTTCGTTTCTAATAACACCCAAATCATATATTTTTGTTGTATTTCTATAAATCACTGAGAAAGGTACATGCCGAAATGTTGAAGTGGAATTTAGATTTCGCTGTGTTTATGCAAATGTATCTTGAAGAAAAAGTTTGTTAGATGTTTGTGATACTGAAGTAAAAATGAGTGCGCTTTACGGTCACATTGATCCTTTATTTTTCATAAACTTTTATGGATAATTCTTTAATATTAAATATTTCATTAATTATCAAGTGCCCGTTGCATCTGATTTTTTATTAGCTAAACTTATCAAATTTGTAAAACAGAAAATTAGTTAACTTTTTTACAGGACGAAAATGATTTTAATAACTATTATTTCATGGTTTGGCGCTGATCGTTCCTTTGTTTGATGGTTGACGGAGCAAAGCGCGTGTGGACTGGACGTACCGCTTGTGAAGTCTACCTATCGAACAGTTCATTTTTTGTGATTTTTTTATTAGTTAAACTTATCAAATTTCAGGACGAACCACAGTTAGTAACTATTATCTGATGGTTTGACCCTATCGTCCATTTTGTTTGATGGTGGATTGAGCAAAGCGCGTGTGGACTGGCCGTACCGCTTGTGAAGTCGGCCTATCGGACAGTTCATTTCCGACTTTTGTTATTGTTCATTTTTTATCACTGCTTTATATTTGTATGCATATGATAGGAAAAAGCAATATGACCAATAAGAATGGTTACCTATTCCTCATTCTTGAATGTACTTCTTTTTGTTATGTCATGAATTTTTCCAGTATTTATAACATTAAGTGTGATAATTACAAGTTGGTCTTTTCCAGGTTCACTTGACTATGTAGTAAATTTTGTAATCAATATATGTCCCCTGTGTCTTTATGATTCATAAAATAATTGGTGAAGCTTTTGCGACATTGGATTTTTTTAATTGTTTCCGGCCAACAACTTCTAACTTATAAGGATTATATTCAGCAGACTACTTTTTACTTGCACATTATCCTTATTCAGCTGTAGGTCAAGAGAGGGTCACAATGATTTTTAATGAGTAACAAGTCTAGCTCAGTACGGAACGAATCGAAGGGCTAAACTACGATGAGCAGAACGACTGCAACTGGGGTTTGATCAATGGTCAATGTTTCAGCGACCTTGCACTAATGGGGGGGGGGTGCAAAATGCCAAAATGATAAATAAACACCTATTGTTTCATGTAAATTTATTCTGTGACCATAAACTATATTAACATAAACAAACTTCGGGTTAAGGAACAAGAATAAATAAATAGTATCTAAAAGATTCAGAATTAAGTCATTCGTTTAATTTATTGTAAAGGACTAATCCTCAAAGCTATTTAATTCTGTATAAAATTTTCCTAATATAAAATTTATCACAACTCTATATAAATAATGATTCTCAAAGGAAAATATGTAGAAATTTGCAATTTTGATAAATTTGATTTATTAATCATATATTAAAGCAAAAAAAATATTTAAATAAAATACTTTGAAACAGAATTGATTGACAGACAATTTAAATCACACAAGTCATGATAATGCTGAAAATGTAAAGGGAATCTGGATTATGTCTAATTTCAAATTCACTTATCAAAATACGTGATGTATCACGCTTATGCGGGATCCTGTTGTTGGAGAGACAGTTCGCTTCATAACATCTGGACACAGGCTAAAGAAAGAATCGAACTGGAAAGGTAGAACTTTTTATTCATATGTGCAAATTATGCAGTTTACTAATTAAACATGTTTTACAAATAGCTTTCGTTGTAATTTGCGACAATGAACATGCTTCAGTCAGGTGAAATAGCTTTGTGAATATGCTGGACTGATCAGTGTTGTCTTCATATTCTATTCGATTCGAGTGCAATTTCATATTTAAATTGTTATCAATGTAAAAAAAAATCGTCACCATTTATAATCATAGAAAAAATGTGTTTAAATTATACCTAAACTAAAGGATTGCAGAGATATTTCGTAACTTATTCTGTAAAAAAAATGCAAGTAGACAGTGCATTTAGAAGCCATGATTCAAGTCAAATAAGTGCACACTACATAAATTAAGGCCATGGTAGATACTGAAAGATACTGAAAAACCGTTTAAAATCAGGCGCCAAAATATTTGAACATTAAAAATCCATCGTACGTGTCGATAGTTTTTGCGCCCGGCTAAACACCGACGTATCGTTACCGTATATGACTTTGGGAACCATTCGTTTATAGCAGCTTCGCAAGATGACAGGTCGAAAAAAAACTGACTATTGATGGAAACAAATGTGGTTTTCTTTGTAATAAAGTGGACTTATTAGTAGTTACATATATCATTGGAAAGGGTATATATTACGGGTATGAAATGATGCAAGAATTATTCTGCAAGTGCATTTGTGATTCTGTAGCTACTTGATAAATGTGCTTCGGTTTTGTTTGTTTACATTTCGTAGTTGGTTATCTTGTGTTATTTATAGTATATACTGGAGTAATGTCATTATAAATGCCTTATATTCGCTTCTAAACAAGTGTCTGTGCAGATGACAGCCCATTTTTTCTGGTTCCCGGTAGTCATCAACAAAAATGCTGGTTCAGGAACTCACCAATAGGAATAAACAAAATCTATTCCATCATGAAAGAAATGAAGGAAGATGCAGGGATTGAAGCCCCACGCATAACCCCATATAGGTAAGAATTTACTCAGTGTATTGGTGACTTGTATTTTCAGTGAAATACTACTATTATTCAAGTGATGAAATAAAAATGATATTACCACTACTGTATATTTGTATAAAAAAATATGAAATAAATTCAAACAGAAAAGCTTATTAAAAATCAACAATTGTTACTTACAACTTAGAAGCATCTCTCTTGTTGTAGCACATAACACACAGTTACACATGCATGAATTCAAAAAAACATCATTTTTGATGACAATTATTGATTGCTGATGGTAAATTCTTCATAAATGTTACATTGATGTCAAAATGAATACACAGTTGATAACAGGCGTTCGGCACAACCTCAAAATAACTGTAGATGAGACAAAATACAAAAACAGTTATCTCGAGTGGAGTAACAAACTAACCTGACTTGTTTTGTTTTTTTATCTTCAGTGCAAGGAAACGTCTTATTCAAAAGCTGTCTGATGATGGCGTGCCAGCCAATCAAATTGTTCAAATATCCGGCCACAAGAATGTCAACAGTCTGAATAATTACAGTAAACTGAACAATGCTCAATGTAAAAATATTTCAAATATTCTATCTGATAGGCCATCAACATCATATCAGTCTGTAGCTCCATGCAATTCAGCACTTGATACCAACACCCCACCCACAACATTTAATGGAAAGAGTGAAGGTGCTGCATCTAGAGGTTTCTTCATTAATAGCCATTTCCATGGAAATGTCACATTTAATTTTCATTCCTCTACAACTTCAACACAAAAGCTGTCACAGCAGGTGATAAATCCAAGTACTGAATCAGAAGTTTGCAGCGCTGACAGCTCGCCACTGCACCCAAAAAAATACCAACGGATCCGCATGATATCCGACAGTGACAGTGATTGACTTGAAATTCACTAATTAAATCCAAAGAAGTGCACAAATTTTGCTCACAGAAGAATGAAAACATTTACTGAATTAACTGAGATTGTTTAAACTCGTTTTAGCGTCACATGTACTTGACCAACATGGCCGCTCTTGTTATGAATGAATTTTACATGTATTGAAAACTTGAATTAATCCGCTTTCATATTTATCGTAAATATGTTTAAAGTGTATTTGATTTTGTTACGAATGAAAAGAATAAATGAATTACATGTTTTAAATGTGTATTGGGTTCATTACAATGGCAATTATGCCGTAAAAATAAAGGAAAAAATATATGCACTATTTCATGTGCGGAGTTACAAATTTGGCAAATAACGTTCTCCTTGAACAGGGGCTCCCCACGGGGTATGTATTAATGATGCGCACGGGTAAAATATAAAAACATGGCAATTTTGGTTAAAGTAAGCATAAAATAAAAAGAAAATTTGTTTATTTCTGTGAAAGATTATAATTTATTTCATCTCGTGAACGCCATATGTCCATATTTTCACTCGTGGCTGCGCCACTCGTGAAAATATGGACATGGCGCTCACTCGATGAAATAAATTATAATCTTCCACAGAAATAAACAAATATCCTCTATATATCGTACGTGAATCATACTCCCCCTTAATCAATGTAGAAACAGTACAACAAAATTGTTATCTTGTTTCTTGAATCAATATCATTAACGGTCGTTACTGCTCTATACATTATCTATAATATTTTTCAATACAGTTACAATGTTAATGCTAATTTTAACGTCATAACCATTAGTTCAATTTCAGGTCAAAGCATTTTAAACATTCTTGATCAATCTTTAGTAACTTTAGAAGTCAGAGTTCGCACTGTAACATTTCCCACTGTAACATAAACAATTAAGAGACGGTATATTTATAATAAAAGAAACAAAAAACGTTTATTTATAGTCTAAAAAAGAAAATTTTAATGTTTTAAAGAAAACAAAGACATTATCATCTTAAATGTATTCTAAATTCGATCAATTATATATACAAGCATAATCGATATGTAATGTAAAATTTGAAACAGTTTTTATATTATAATTTGTTGAATATTTTGACATAGTTTTCTTTACCATAACATAATCGGAAAGAAATAGTGATTATACAAACATTTCATATGATATAATTGTTTTTACCCTTTAAAGTTAACAAAATCAAATTTCAATAATAATAACCATTATTATAAAACATCATTTGATGAGGCAACTATCGTGTTAAATCCAAACTTAAATAATAATAAAACAACTAAATTGTCTGCATGTTATGTATAGGCGGGTTAAGATATATGTTTGATATATTAGATTTTTGTTTTTCTTTTTATAGAGTATCATTTATTTATTACAATCTAATGATGACAATTATTTGTTTAAAATGCATGCTTTATAATATGGCAAGACACTTGTACAAATTTGATGAGAAAAAAACTTTGAAGACAACAATCTTTTGTTACGAGATAAAAACTAGTATTTCACTTCGTAAATCAGCTTGAAATGCTTACAAATTCAATTAATGTCGCAAAAGTGCAAATCAATTTTAAATAAAAGCGAGTGCATAAAAGAAAAGAACAGAAACGCAGTATTGAACTTTAATTATTACAATATTGAGTTTAAACTGTTTATGTCTTCACAATAAAATGCAAAGTATTCTTTTTGATTTTGAAAAAGAGTTGAATCTCTTTATACGCAATCAGGTGCTAATATAATTGAAAGGTGTGGCCCTTTGAAATATCTGAATTGCGACAAATGCGTCCAGCATTACGTTTAGGTTACAAATGTAATATATCACATGTTAAATTGTATCTAATTTATTATTGTTTCATAATAACATTAAGAAATTGGCATGCTATCTAAGCTTGTGTGTAACTGTTTGATTGCAACAGAAACAAAAGAGTACAGTTTGAAGTCAATGGTAGATCATTAAAACATATGAAATTCATAATTTGTTTTTATTACCGTAACTTGAAAATGTCCCTAAAACCAAATGACTTTGCCTTTAAGTATAATAAACTATATAATATTTATAACATTGTCAAGTCTGCACATGTATAATGTAACGGGGATATATTAAACATACAGGTACATTACACAGTACCACATCTCGTGAATCAATAATATCCATCGTGACATAAAAATAATCCACTCAGATTCGAGATAATGACAGAAAGCACAGATGAACAGATGAAATAGAATGTTCAATTAAATAACTAATAAACAATTAAATAACCATTAAACTGTTTCGAATTATGTAGTTTTAATATGTTATGTATATGCAGAATAATAAATTATTTTGTTTTAAATTTTACTTATTAATATGCCCCTTGCATTTAGAAAGTGATCCATTGAAACAGTTTGTTATCATAGTTCAAAGTTTCATTAGCTGCATCATCAAGCACATTCGTCTTCTAAATGTATGAATCTACATAAAATAAAATAAAAATTTACCAAATTTATTTTGGTAAATGAAAAAATAAATGTTCGAATTCCGAAAAAAAACGAATTAGATTTTATTTACATTAACACTCAAATGGATAAAAAACGAAATACAATCCGAATTATGTTCATAATTATTTTGTTATTCAGGCAAGATAAAATTGGAAACAAAATCACTGACAGTTAATTTCCAGAAATGACAAATGAAGACAAATCGACTGACAGGAAATAAGCAAATAGGAAATTAAAATTATGGAAGCTTAATTATCTGTTACGAAAGCAATTTAATCACCAAGGACTATAAGGAAAGTTACGTTAAATACTAAAATGCATATAGTTATGAAGAGAAAATATTCATTACCAAATGTTTTGGAATTGCCGATGTACTAAAGTATCTAGGGATATTTAACGTAACAGTTTCATCACAGGTTTGACTTACATGGGAGTGGCATCTGGAAATTTACATTCATTTGTAAATAGTTTCCATAAAATATTTATTACCTTACAATACTTGTAAAGCTACTATTTAATTTAATGATCTAGTTATATGACATGTTTATCATTGATGTTTATCTATTATTTTTAGACTTCTATAGTGTGTTCAGTTTTAGACACTAAATAAAAAAACTTGTTTGTTCATTGATAAACTACTTCATAATAATTTATACATGCACGTCAAATTTAAGAGTTCGATAGATATGTTATAAGGATTTTTCTTCTTAATAAAAGTGGCATTTTACATTAAATAAAAGCAACATTCTGAAGAAACCAAAATAGATAATAGACTGGCTTTTGTACGTGATAATCATATTAATCGACAGAATCACTTTAAAATCTCGCTGAATCTAACATAAAATATGTGAATCCAATGCAACTGAAAATGACACTTTTAAAATTGTTCAATCAACTATTCTAATGAAGACCTACTTAAAAGCAAAACCAAAAGTACGAATTAGCACAAATTTGCTTTCTTTGTTTTCAAAGATAAATCGTTACAAAATATATAAATGCCAAGAAAGTGACAAAACATTAAATATTGTGATAAATTTATAACATTACAGATGCAAAGGTATTAGTGCAGCTGCTTGAAAATGCGATAAGGGGTGTATAATTAGCCGGGCGGACGAATAATTAATAGAACAATATCATGTGTTATTATTCGTTATTGAACTAAGAATGTTATAGTTTTTGAAAATAAATTTAATACCATTTAATACCGGTTACGTGTTGTCAACTCTTTGTCGTATTATCGTTAAAAACAAAGTTTTTCACTTTTTTGTATTTTTTCATGTTTTCGCCTGGCGCCCCGCAGAGCATAAGTAAAACAGGGCACAAATTCGCCACCTTACTTACAAGCAATTATGTAAATAATGATGTAATGAAATGACATAAACAATAATTCAACAAAAGTTTATGAAAAATTGACGCCATGTTATAAAGGTTAAAGATTTTTTTACTAAGACAAACTCTACAGTTGTACGCGAAAACATAAACGTATAAATACAGAAATCATAAATTATTCCCTGTTTATAACCATTGAATAAATACAAATTACATCATTAGTTAACAAATAATTTACTTTCAATACAGTTAAACAATGCTTGAAACTATAAAAATTTTGATGTTAAATTCTAGCAACAGCAGACGTTTAAACAGATGCAAATGCGATATTTAAAGGCTTTAATTACCACAATTAAAGCGAGTTAAAGACTGTATAAATGAACACTTCATGGTTACTGATACCACGCCAACGTTTGCATGTAATGGTTTATGATATTGAAAAAACTTTAAACGCACAGTGTATATACCTACTTTGGTGTATATGATGATTCTTGAAATATTACAGTCGCATACAAGAAAAGCATTGATTGCAAAGCAAAAAAAAGCCAAAAGAATTTGATCCAGGTTTGCACCTTAATACTTAACAAAAGATGTGTACTTTATAGCAGCACCCCATTACATGTGACCTGGAGGAAACTTAAACCAAAAAGAATTAGACTCTGTCTTGCCCAAAGATGCAAAGACAATTTATAGTCAATTATCCAATCTTATAGACACATACTTATAATAAGAAAAGAATTTCTTCAGATTTATTTTACCAGACACAAGGATTCCTGAGTCATCAGCATATAATCACAGGCACCTAGTATCGTAAAAAAAAATATGACCAGATTGAAAAAAAAACTGTTCATAAAAAACCACAAAAAAATGTAAATAATGACCCTTTAAAAATATCTTAGAAGTAATTAACTTAAAGTATATTTTTAAAGGGGGTCATTATTACATTTAATTTTGGTTTCTGACACTTTTTAAGATGAACACAGTTCTTTTTATCAATCTGGTCATATTTTTCTTCCGAGGTCTGATACTCGTGCCTGTGCATATAATAAACGCTTATTGCTTTGAGGTTTGCAGACATGTCATTGACATATATTAGACATAAAAAGAGGACCATAAAATGAACATCAGGAGACGCCATAGGTACTCAGAGCATTAGTAGAATGAGTACCAGCCACATCCACCAGCTGCTGTCTATCAGAGATAAGACTTAAACCATGTAAAGAAATGTCATTACATATGGCAGATGCTTGAAGTTTCAAATGAAGAAAGAAGAAGAAGAACTCCTTTATGTGCAGTATAGTGTGATCAACTGCTATCAAATGCCCTTTGTAGCAGATCTAAAAGTAATCATGCAACACTGGCCTTTGTCCATTTTTTCAAAATTTAATGCAATCTGTTAAATGAATCAAACATGTGTCAGTTGAAAAAACCACTTCTAAACCTGACATGAAACTGCCTGACCATGACTTCGAACCCGATGACTTTCAGAAGGACCAACTGAGCTATCCGGCCGGCTACCACATTTCTCTTAATAAGGAAACAGTTCTAAACCACAACATATTTCCCCACTATATTGATTTGTGTCCTGAATTTCTTATGTTTACAGAGCATAGTGAATTGAATTCATGCTTATATGCAGTCACAGGATGAGAAAAAATTCCAGCCTTGACTAGTACTCGAACCTGGCACCAACCCAGAATAATTGTACCCGCAGCTGTAGCGATAAAAGCTATCTGGCCCACTTAACACATTTTCTTTCCCTAAATAGTGAACAAGTTCTAAACCATGACAGATACTTTTAG